GGGGGGGGGGGGAAGACGCGGGCGAGGGAGGACGGGGACGAGGGCGGGACGACCGAGGCCCCGGCGACGGCGACGGCGACGGCGACGACGACGGAGACGACGACGACGACGACGACGGCGACGACGACGGCGACGGCGATGGAGGAGATCGTTCCGAACGCCGACGCGGAGGCGGCACCGATCGAGGATATCAAAGACACGGAGACGCTGCTGAAGGAATTTTTCAAGGATGTGTCCGAGGCGACTCGAGACGCCGAGGTGGAGCGCATCTTGTCGTGCTTTCGGTTGAATCCGTACGAGTTCTTGAACGTGCGGTTCGATTGCGAGATGAAAGAGATTCCTAGGTCGTATCGTAAGATTTCGCTCCTGGTTCACCCGGATAAGTGTGCAAATAAAGACGCCAAGGCGGCGTTCGACGCGCTCGGACAGGCGCAGAAGCTCCTGCTGAATGAAGACTTCAAGCGCGCGTTGGACTTCAACCTTCAGCAGGCAAAGGATGAGGTGCTTCAAACTTGGAGAAAAGAGGCGCGAGATGACGTCGCGCTTCGTGTGAAATATCAGGGTAATAAGGAGGGGATGCTCGAAGACTTTAGCAAGACGGATGAGTTCCACGAGCGATGGAAATTTGCGGCGCGCAAGTACATCGTTGACTTAGAGTGGCGCCGTCGTAAATTAGCGCTACGAATCAAGGGAGAAGAGAAGCGCGTAACCGAAGAGGAGAAGGTGGAGGCGGCTCAGCGCCGCAAGGAGGCTCTCGAACGCAAGGAGTGGGAGCGAGAGGATCGCCGAGAGGAGCGTGTGAGCGGTTGGCGAGATTTTATGAAGGGAGCAAAGACAAAGAAACAAAAAGTCCAGGGCGTTAAGATGCCGACTCTCAAAATGGAGGTTAACGAGAAAGACAAAAAGGCTGTTACTCTCGAGAGGGATCGAGTGCTTCGTCCGGACGAGGTTAAGAGGGCGTTTTAACGCAACACATTCATTGTTTGCATGTGCAACTCTATTACTTGTATCGCTAACTTTTCTCGCTACTCTCATCGACTGTGACCCAGCTCGACGTTGGGTTCGCCGTCTGTTTCACATCCGTTTCTGGTTGTTTCTCCTCTGGTGTTTCCTCCGAATTTTCCTCCGCCACGTTTTGAGTCGTCTGTGCCTTGAACGCGTTTCGTTGAGCAGCTGTTAAAGACTCTTCTGCTGGTGACGCGATTACCGGTTTAGACCTCTTCAATTGCTCGCACGCTTCCCCAGACGCCAAGAAATCAGTACCACAAGGTGGAGGACTCATCGAACGCCCACGCTTACCGAGTTCGCCGTGCGTCGGGCCTGTGTCCACTTCATCTGTGAAGACAGAGTGCTGGAGCGGGGGCGGGACAAATCGTGAGCCCTGGAAGTGGAGTACCGGCGGGCTATGATGCGGCATTTGCTCCACGACCGCATCACTCGCAGGGTCGTCATCGGACTCGAAATAATCTTCTTCGTCCTTGCTCATCGAACTGTCGCGCCTCGCGCGCTGCTCGGACAGTGCTTGAGCTGCGGCAATCTCTTCTCTGCCGTACGCTCGAGGAGAGACACCGACGCCAGGCAGCATCATGCCCGCAGGCAAATCAATCGTCGCTGGTCCCATCCCTTGCTGATACCTAAGCTTGAGGAGTCTGAAAGTATCAACATAATAAACTTCTTCGAACCAAGATTCGTATTTCTCCACTAGATGGTGGATCAAACCACGAATATTCTCACGTCGAATAAAGTCGACCAACTCGAGCACTACACTATTGAGCAAGTTGTACCGATCACCGTTACGTTTGAAGACCTGCATCACCGGCTCGAATGCGTTACTCTTAATCAAGTAACGGTTGTAAAATTCATCCTTCAAACTCACGCACGCTCGCAGAAATCGCACTGCTGAAACTACGACGTACTTTTCTCGGCGCTCTGTCAACTGCAACACGTGCTGCAACACGTGGTTGCGAAGCATGAAGTACTTGATCCGATACGCATGATTCTGGACCAAAAATATCATTAGATCGATAATTTTGGTTAAAGACCATGCCGGAACGCGCTCGCCGACTTCACTATCCTTGTCTCCGATGTCTACTTTGCCTAACGTGATGCGGGCGACGATGGATTCCATGTGCTTATCGTAAAAGATTTCCAAGAGTTTGTCCTTTTCCGGTTGCGTTCCCTCCATCGTTTCGGGATCTGTCAAGAACAGTAGTATCTCTAGGTAAGTTGCCTGGATCCCGTCGGTTCCCGTCAAGAACATGCGCACTAACTGCGAAAACATGTTTTGTTCTGGTTTCTGCGCATCTTGTTCCACCATGAATTTTCGAAGCACCAAGGGATCATTCTGCAGGCTCGACATGAGCACATCCGCCGCCTTCAGTTGCGAGTACTCATCACCATGCACCAAAATATCTGTTAACACATCGTACAACCCGTGTTTCTCGAGCGTCGCGAACACCTGGAGCCGCGGTTGGTTCTGAAGGTGTCTCGCGAGCGTACATAGTTCTTGCAGGAACCCGACCAAGTCGTTCCAGTCCTCTTCACCGGGTTTCGACTCGTTCAATCTCTTGAACAACTCTGCGAAGAATTCAGGCTCGTCGTGCAACGCCTGCACGACTTCGACATTGTTGCACATCATCATCGTAGTGAGCGTGCTGAAGGCTGCATCGTCCAACACGCGAGGGAGGATAGCGTCCTTCAGATAACCCAAACGACACGTCTGATGAATCTTTTCCCGAATCAGCTTATTATTTATGGGTACAACTTCCTTGAAAACCACGTTCTCTTTGAGAAACTGTCGATGATGGACGCGTTCAAGTTGCTCGGGATCGTATTCGAGCGTTCCGACGAAGTCAAACACGTTCTGCTCTCTGAGCAATATCTCGTACAAGTTAGGGTCGTTTAAGTTGACCAAGCCCCTAAAAATGGCGTAAAACAAGTGCAAGCTCTCAATATCGTCCACGTCTTCACACTGCCTGAAAAGTTCGAAAAGTCTCGGCAAATAATCCTGGGAACTCATTATTTGAAGCGGTATGCGCTCGCGAGCAAAGTGAGAGCCACTTGTGATGAGTATGAGCAGCTTTTCCAAGTTCCCGAGCTCGGGTTCCGGTAGAGGTTCGATTTGTGCGTTTCTTCCCATACGCATGTAAACCTGTGCGTCGCCGCCGCCGAGAAAACCTCCCCGTTCTGGTTCAAACTGAAAGACTTGAAATTCTGACCCGGTGTCCATCGCCATGAGCTTTGAATCGTCATTATCGCCCAGGGCTCCCGCGCCTTGCTGCGAGTACGACCTTTGCACAGAGTTGATCTGCTCCCAAATAAAGTTACACCCCACTCCCTCCTGAAAACTGAGCGCAATGTCCGCCCCGAGCTCGGGGTCGAGCCAGGATATGATGGTCTCGCACTCTTGCCTAGAGTAAAAATTTCGCTCTTGCGATATCCTGTGCACCAACAGCGGCTCTTGGTTTTGTTCCGACATCACCACCAATCCGATCGAGCTCGATTGCTGCGCGTTCGCGAACGATCGCGTTTCGTCAGTCTTTCTCGCAAGTTTGAGTTTCACAAGATCTCTCACCTCGAGGTACTCGCACGAGGCGAACCCGGTGCCCTTATCGTCCCAGTGCCCTCGATCGTTCAACCTGTACAACTTCACCCGCGCCATGGCATTCATTTTGCCGTCGTCGCCCGTCGCGCCTCCCAAGTTCGGCGCCACCGTCGGTGACGTCGACGCGTCGCCGACGGCGTTCGCATTCGCCCTCGCGACATCCTCGACGGAGAATTCAAATCCATTCTCCGGTACCGTCGTCTCGTCCGCGCCATCCGCGTCGCCCCCTTGGACCGACTCCATGGTGACGCTAGAGTCGAACTCGACGCGTCCACGGCGTCGAGATGATCCTAGAAGCACGGGACGACGAAATGAAAAGCAAAAATCAAATGCAAGTCAAATGTCACTCGAACGATTCTCGCGCGTACTCGTTCCGTCGACACCACGCCTTCGTGCGTTCGGGGACGAAACGGACGCGATGTGGTGTCGCGGACGACGCGCGCCGGTGCACGCCGAGCGCGACGCGCGCGACGGAGAGTGCGGTGTGAACGGTTGGACAGACAGCAGGGCACTCCGAGGTACGCGACGAGGCGAGCGCGCGCGCGATCGAACGACCGAACGCATGACGTCGACGCGGTGAAGATTTCGTGTGACTAGGAGTGCTACTAAAATCGGGACGCGTCAAAGCTTCGTGACGGTGGCGGTGGACGCGGCGGCGGCGCGGGCGGGATCGAGCGCGGCCGCGCGCTTGAGCGTTTCGTCCACCTCGCGAATGAGCTTGGTGTTTTTCTGCGTCGAAGAAAAGCGACGACGGGGCGTTCGTCAGTCTGCGTCGACATTTTCACGCGTTGACGCATCGATCGATCGCGCGTGCGCGTCGTCCCGCGAGCGTTCGTCGCGTCGAGCGCGTACCGCGGCGTTGCGCTGTCGCGTCTGAGACATCTTGTAAAACGCGTGCGTCTTCCACACGAGTCCTCCTGTTGACCCATAGCGATGGAGACGCGTCGTCAGTCGTCGCATCTCGAACGCGCGCGCGTCGTTCGAGCGTTCGGCGCGAGCCAGACACCGTTCAAGCGCTCGAACACGCTCGAGGTTGCGCAGGTCTTCCTCGTCTTCGTCGTCGACGCACCTCGCGCGTTCGGGCCCTTCTTCACCGCCATGAGGAAAAACGAGGTGAACATGACGCGATGCGTGGAGTCGCGGCCTCGATCGGCGCCGTGCGTTTCGCGCGCGCGCCGACGAGTGCGGCGCGCGCGGTCGGAGCGAACGAGACGCGGCGACGCGTCGACGCGCAAAGGCTACCAGAACTATTTCAATCGCTACCCGGCTAATGGAACAACGAATGAAGCGCGACTAAAATCAACACAATAACTCGTTCGTCGTTCGCGTCAACTCCTCGACGTCGACTCGACCGCGTTCGAGGACGTACGACGCCACGCGTTCCATCTCGCTCGGCGACACGCGAACGAATCGCCCGCGGTGCTCGTCCACGACGCCCGAGATCGCGCGCGAGGCCTCGAGCGCGCGAACGCGCTTACGTATCGTGTCAGGTTTCTTGAATCCGAACCTCGCGGAGAGCTCGTCGAAGCGAGAGATCCTGCGTCGCTCGAGCGCGCGGACGAGCGTCTCGTCCGACACCTCCGGCTCGACGTCCTCCGCGGGCGCGCGCGCATCTTCCGCCCGTCCGTACCTCGCCGCGTACTCCATCTCTTCCATCTCTCGAGCCTCCCATCGCTGTCTATACATCTCCAGCTTGGCCTCCTTTCTCGTCATCGGCGGCGCCGCCGCGTCCCGCTCATCCATAACCGCGTCGTCGAATCCGTCTCCGCCCTCCCCCTCACCCCTCCGCGCGTTCGCCCGTCTGCGCGCTCGACGCTCCGCGCGCGCCATCCCTCCCTCGCCCGCCTCTCTTCCTCGCTCGCCGTCGACGTCTCGTTCTCTTCCGAGTCGTTCTCTCGCGCGCTCCGTCTTCGCCAAGTGCGCCACCGAGACGAACGCGGCGAGCAAGCACAGGAGAAACGCCGCGGCGGCGACGACGACGACGACCGTTCGCATCGTCCGTCCCCCGCGCGGTGCCCCTCGCGCCCGTTCGCGCGTCACGCGCGCGCGGCGCGGTCACGGCGAACGGGCGCTCGTGGACGTTGAGACGTCTCGACGGGTGATTTTCATCGAAGACCAGGGTTTAGGGACACCACGACCAGGGTTTAGGGACACCACGACCACGGCGCATCGCGAGACGTCCGCGGGCGACGGGCGTGGACGCGCGCGGACGATCGGCACCGGATGCCGACGACGATCGCGCGCGCGCTCGATCGCGCGAGCGTCGCGCGCGGTCTCGGGCGCGGACGCGGACGTCCACGAGACGGTGGACGGGGGACGATGGGACGACGGGCGGACGTCGACGGTGGAAGCGACGTCTCGGTGGGCTCGAGAGGGGTTCGAGCGCGGGCGACGTCGACGACCACGGAGTCGTACTCGTTCTTTGACCTCGCGCGGGCGGAGTTTCCGGAGGATTGGAGCGAACCGGGGGTGCGGGTGCGGTACGAGGACGGGGCGTTGGATTTCGCCGTCATGGCGTGGTTCATGCGCAAAATCGGAACGGCCATCAACGCGCCGCCGCCGGGAGAGATATCGTACGACGCGTTCATCGCGCTGTGTTTCTTGCAGATGAAGGGACGAGACGCGAAGGGGATGACGGACGTCACGTCTGGGGTGATCAGATCGCTCGTGCCGCCCGGGGGAAGCGCCGTTTTCAAAACGCTGTTTCCGCTGAACAAGTTTTCGTGTGAGCTGAACGCGACGATCACGAAGATCGTTTTCGCGTGGATGGTGGGACCTATGACGGTGGAGACGACGATGGATAATGATCTCGGGATCGAGATGGCGTCCAAGGTGCACATCAAGAAGTGTCGTTGGCTTCAAGAGAGCGGTTGCACCGCGATGTGCGTGAACATGTGCAAGTGCGCTACGCAGGAGGTTTTTACGGACGATTTCGGCTTACCGCTCACGATCAAACCGAATTTTGAGGATAAGAGTTGCGATTTTTATTTCGGTCTCACGCCGCCACCGGTGGAGAAGGACGAGGCGCTGTTGTTTGGATGCAACGCGGCGTGCGCGACGGCGGCGCCAGACTCAGAGGGGCGTCCGTGCCACAAGCTGCGTCCGTACGAAGGTTAAGAGACGCCCGTTGCCGTGCGCGCTAACTCGTAGGACGTGTTGTTAATTTGTAAGATATTTTAGCGAGTACGCAAGGGGAGACATGTCGTGTGAAAGGTACGAAGTTCACTACTACATTGCGTTATAGTGCACTTAACTTGGAAAAATCCAAGGGCACGCAAGCGCTCACTCAGTGGTCACACTGTGTTTTTAAATGTCGACTTTTTTCGATCGAGAGCAGTGTAAGAATGTGTACATGTCCGAGCTAGTGATGATAAAATCAACTGATCCAACGGAAGGTCGTGAAATGTGGTGCGAGGGGTGGCGTTGTTCCTAGTTCTCGGCGTTGGTAGCGGCGTATTGCTGCGCCAGGGCGATGACTGTCTCGTCCTTCGTCATCTTCGCAACTTCATGGACGAGCTCGCGGAATGGAATGTTGATGTGGTCAGTGACTTTGGCTGAGAGATAGTTCCATCGACGGCGAATCTGGCTCAGATTGCGTCCGTGTACCAAATTTTCCCAATCGATGGTTTCCGCAGCCTGCGTGTTCGATTCAATGAGGCCGACGAGCATTTCGCTGTCTTGTTTATTGTCCCATTCTCCAGTCTTCGTCATCTCCGGAGCGATCTGATACCATCGCTGCAAGCAGGCTTGCTCGTTGCGAGTGCCCAGCTTGGCGCTGATGTTGACCCAGTTGATGTTGTCTCGAAGCGTGAGGTGCTCGAACCCTTGCCCTGGACCAGCGCCAGGGCGCGTCCCTCGCTTCTCAAAGTGAGCTTCGACGAGTTTAACCAGTTTCTCAGTCTCTTCAGGGGACCAGTGACCGCTCTTCTTCTTTGGTCCACCCTTTGCGAGGCGCCACTTGTCGCGGCACGCCGGCGCCGGTCGACCGACAACTTTGGAAATCTTAGACCATTTCGGTCCGAGTTCGTCGTACATCTTCAGCAACAATTCGGTCTCTTCTTTGCTCCACTTCCCAGAGGCGGTGGACTTATCCATGTTTCGTAAGATCCAGCCGTATATCTGCTTTGCGTTTCTCGTCGGGAGCTCGCGGGCGAGCTCGATGAACGCGTGCCGCTCGCTCAGAGGCAAGTTGGCGCCGCGTCCGCCCTGCTTCTGTCGACGATGAAACAAAAAATCATACTTTTCGTTGATGAATTCCTCCGCAAAGCCGTGCTCGTTCGCCCATCGACCGACGATTTCCTTCATCTTCGCCATCTCATCCGCGGCCCACGGGCCAAACTTTTGTCCCGGAAATTTCACGTCCCACTCCGAGGTATCCCCCCCCCCCCCGAACCCGTGCGTCGCCACCGAGGCATCGATCAACGCACGCCCCATGCCGTTCTCCGAGTCCGCGCGCACGATCGCCGGCCTCTCATCCACGCCGCCCATCCCGCGCCCGTCGCCCGCCCGCCCGTCGTCCCGCGTCCGTTTCCGCCCCCCCGTCCACGCGTCTCGCCGTTCCGTCGCCGCCGCGACGTCCGCGAGCACTCCCACGCGCGCGTTCTCGCCCACCGAATCCCGCGCGCGCGCCATCGTCCCCCACGCCCGCGCGAACGAACACACGGGTGCGATCACGGAATGAAAATGCGTCGACGCGAATGCGACGATTCGCCTCGACCGATGAATCCGTCGCCGTCGTCGGTCTCTCGCGCGCGTTCGATCACCCGGTCCTCGCTCGAGCGCGTCGTCGCACGCGCGCGCGTGTACGTCTTCACGTCGCTCGATCGACGTCGACGCGCCGGGCACAGACGCGGCGGCGCGCTGAAGAGGATGTACACGCGCCGACCCCGTGGACGGGCGAGGGGGCCTGTACACGCGGGTTTTTTTGTACACACAGGGTCCTTCCCGTACACGCGGGTTTTTTTATGCCACCACGGGGCCCTTCCCGTACACGCGGGTTTTTTTATGCCACCACAGCCCGTCCATCGCGTCGCATAGGGGGGTCGTCACTCGTGAAGACATGTAGGGGTACACGACACGCGGGGTGTCTCTGGTCGTGGGTCGTCACTCGTGCCTGTGTGTATGGGTACACGACGCGGCGTGCACGCGCGACGCGCGAGCGACCGACCGATGGGCGCTTGACCGGTGCGCGCGGTGTCTTCGGGCGAATGAAGTCGTTCGCGTGGGACCTAAGGGGTGTGCGTACTCACAAACGGATCGCGCGGATGGCGAGCGCAACGAGGACGCCGACCGCGTCGAGGCGAGCGCGTCGAGGCGGGGGTGGGCGCGCGCGCGTCGACGCGGGCGACATCCGCGCGGCGGCGACGGACGCGGCGTCGCCGTCCGTCACCCGGCGCGCGCGCTCGGGACGGCGATGAGGGAGACGACGCCGCGCGCGCGCGGTGA